GAATGAAAAGCATGTGAACTGACCCTAGTTCAAACCTATGGTCTATATGGATCAGGACATGTGTTGCATGAATTAAGGTGGCGACTAATGCCATCGCTGGACCAAATCAACCTTCCATCCCTCCCAAGATTAAAGTCATCAGCTATCTTCACAGAATTCTACAACATTCGACTGCATAGAGGAGAGGAGAGGATCAACTGACTGATTTGTTGAACTTAAACGTAATATAATTATTGAATTAATTATATCTCAATGAACAAGACTTCCTCATACCGTCTTTCAGGCGTTATGGCACCACCTCCTGCTGACACGTGATGAATAGGGGCCACTTAAGTGAGCCAACGCACCGTGACGTTTTAGCTACTGCAATGCAAAGATAATCCTCGCACCATTTTACTGACACCTCGCTTTTCACTAGCTATGCTTCAGACATCCATGCATTATCGAAACCATCCTTGTTTGTTGTTTATTGTACCGCTACCTGGAGTCAATTGCATTATCAGAAAGATTGTAGCTTGTAATGTTCGCGCATTATTAATCTTTCAATAGTTTGACTGTCACGCTTTCCTTCAGAAGGAGCAAATTTTCGCTCAACAGAGAACTGCCCCAGTCTTATTCATCCAGGTTGTATGCTGGTCTCTACATCTGAATTGTTTTGGCTCATACAGGGGAACTTCAGGGATAGAAAAAATAAGTTTATCTGCAAACAATCTGTCCAGCAGGATCAAACTTCCTTACAGAATCTCTTTATCTACGAAAGATACGCTTGCCCGGAAGAAAAGTCACTCTTTACGTAATCTTGCAGTCTGAAACTCGTCATGCGTAAAAGTCAACATTTCTGCAAACTTTCTACCGTTCCTTAAGGTCCTTCTTTAAAATGACGGTCCCTATGCGGTGTAGCAACACGGTCTTGATCGAACGAAGATACAAGCAGAGTTGCGTGAAAATGGAAACTCCTTTCTCAATCCAAACATGAAACAAGTTACCAAAAGCATTAGCAGTCAGGAAGATCCTCCATTTAAACTCTAATTGTGTGGTACCGTCTGTGAAGACGATGGAAACAGAAGCAGTTTGACTGGCTGACTTCCAGCATCAATGTATCTCGCAGTAGATCATGCACAACTACTGTATCGAATGGAATTTTCATAGCTTTTCGGTGTGTTAGGGATGACGCAAACTTTCATAGCGATGTTATGATGTTCTATTCCTCACACAGGGCGATACAGCCCTCGTATACCAGATCAGGGGATCAGGGATATCTAGCCGAATATCTTGAACCGCATCTCCCCTTAAGAATGAGACTCTTGTCTTTGCTAGAGTCAACACTGTTTCAGAACAGGTAGAGAATAATGTTGAATACCACAGGGAAACTTACAATTTTCAGGAAACCAGGTAGAAAGCTCTCCTCAGGCCATAAAATCAGACATGGCTTCTGCGTATATCTTACAAACGATAGAGGGCTGAGGCATCAGAAAAAAATTCAGTCTCTTCTTATCTTGAGATGATGTGGTGAATCAAATGCAACTTTAAAGTCAATGAGCACAAAGAAGCAGCAGTTTGAAAAAACATTCTTACCGGAACTGGATGCCGCTGTGAGGGAAGTCAACATATAGCCGAATTTTTGCGCTGAGCCTAGAGCAGAGTTCCTCGAAACTTTTCGTCATTTCTACAACTTGAACGCACCGGTTTCAGCTTAACTAGACCCACAATATCAACGCAAACCTTTCTACAACGTAA